AAAAAAAAATAAACATTTTACATTTCCAATTATAGTCACTCAGCATTGAATACTGCTGTTCTCAAAGCGTATACTTCTCAGATTTACAACAGTTTCAAAAAATTGATAATTTTTTTTTTATTAAAAAATTTTTCTTGAACAATACGGTTTTTTTTTTTGATGTTATAGACTTGTTAAATTTATTAAAAAGAGTTTTTCTTTTTTTTTTTCGATACGACTTTGATTTTATATTGGTACTATTTTATTTGCATTCATAGAGACCGCTTGTATTCTTTCCTTTTTTTTTGCGTGTTATTTTTATTGTCATACGTATGTTTATTCATCAACTGCTCGTAAATGTTCTATTTGTAATGACTGTGTAAAAAAAAAAAAGAATCTAAAATAAAAAAAAAAATTTACTATAGCAGATAATTTCAGACAGAATGAAATGAGAATTCTGAAACTATTTTGGCTTACAGCCGGATTGTATCTGCTGTTATTTACTAAACGAGTTTATGCGATCTCTGGTAAATGGACATTAATGTTTCCAATCACACAATTTTTTTAAACTTAGCTATTTTCTTTACCTTTAAACATTTTTTTTGACTTTTTTTAACTTTTAGTTTTTTTTGACACACACTGAGTATATCAGTTATTGCAGGTTTCAAATATGCGAGTAATGTTCCAGTGGCAATAGATAATGAACCGTTAGGAGACGGTAAGTATCCGTTTTGAAATTTCTCTGTATTTTCCTTTTTTTTATTATTCAACGGTTGTTTAAAGTCAAATTTAAACAAGAAAAGTCTGCATAATTGACAGTCATCAATGAAAATACGCCGTGTGTACTTTTCACATTTTTTTTTTTTTTTGGCCAACATGGCGTTAATGAGTTAAAGTGCTTAACAGTACGTTTAAAATATCAACGATGAGAGAGAGAAAAAAAAAAGGTTTTAAAAATCTGTTCTGATAATCTTAGTCGATTGAACATCTTTTTTTTTTTAATTCAACTAAAGAAAATGTTTTTTTTTTGCAATTTATCACAAGCATTAAAAGAATTTATAAGAAGAGATTAATTACAGAAAATACTGCACCTGACCCACCCAGAAATGTTCGTTGTGTTGCAAGTAGTCACAGTGCAATTCTGTATTGGGAGCATCCATCGTCACGAAACAGAATTAAAGTTCGAGGATACAGTATTGAGTGGGGAATAGGTGCACCGAATGCTAAAGCAGATGTCCAGGGCACAGAAACGTCCTTTTCAATCATTGAACTTAGTCAGCTTTTTAAAAAAATTTCATCAAAATATTGTCTGAATTTTGATATTATATTGTTAAAACAGAAATCTCTAATAAGATTTGCGTTAAGAAAATAGCAAAAAAATGCCATTTTTTTTTTTGTAATCTTTTACAATAGTGTAAGTGCAACAGCAATGAAATTTAACCGAATGAATAAGTGGTAATCATTCTGAATAAGGTTTTATTTTTTGACAATATACATCAGTTTTTAAATTTTAACATAAGTAATCAAACACTGAATTGAAGGCCTCAAAAACATGCTTTTTACTGTTTACAAATCTAATTTTGTAACTTTCTTAAGAGTAAAATTTAACATTTGATAACCACTGGCAGTTATATAAATAATAGAAAAAATTCATTTTTCGTTTGCTTAGGACCAAACACAACATACACCTTTTCAATATTTGCTTTCAATGACTTTGGTGATTCGGAAACTGTGGAAATTACTGCAACAACGACGCAAGTTGAACATCGAGGTATATCATCAATTTTGGGCATATAATATGAGATAATTTTGCTCAACGACATTCCCCTAGTTATTATTAGTTAGTAGTGT